AATTCCTGTTCAGATATATTGCTTATATCTATTTTAGGCACATCCTTGACTGTGATTTATTGTTTACCTTTCTTTTCAGGGGAATTCCTCTGCCTTGTCATTTTGGTTAACTATCTATCTTTGGCATGTTTTAAAAGCTTATTATGTTTCCTGCACCTGAGTTTAATGCTATCTTAAAAGGGTTCATATGCTGTCCAGGGCCTGGCACTTCAGGAAGTGTTTCTGGTGTATGCTGTGTACACTCTGCTGTTGTGTTTTGGTTGTTCTTCCCAGTGGTCTGTCCTCTGCAGTGCTCCTCCTTGCTTGCAGTGTGGAGTGTTTGGACCTTTAACTAGATATGCTTTGATTTGTTTGTTAATGTGATCCTGGGAAAAGAGTGGGAAAAATCCTGACCTTAAAATAAGAGAAAAGGAAAGGGAATAATAACAACAGCAACAAAACCAAAAAATAAGAAAGCTATAAGGCTGAGCCAAAAAAAAAAAACAAAGGTTGGGGGAAAAAAAAAGAAGAAAATCTCAATCTTCATCAAGAGAGAGAGGGAGGAAAGAAAATGAAGGAAAAAAAAAGAAAGAAACTCTGAGCCTGATTCCAAAAGAAAAAAAGAAGAAAGTAAAAATAATAAATCTGGTCCTAAATCCACCAGAACTGAAGGTATCCTTTTGAAGGACTTGATTTTTAGTATACTTGGTGTATACAGGGTGCTGCCTCTGCTGGTCTTCTAGAGCAGAGGCCCACTGCACTAACTCCGTGTCAGTCCTGTCCCAGTTAATAAGCAGTTGCCAGGCACAGGGAGGTTGAGTTGGTATAAGGAGGTCCAGCCTACACTGGGGGCCGCTGTGCTGCTCTCTGACGTGCCACCATGTTGGTGTTGAGCAAAAAATGGTCCCTTGGAATTTTCTATCCCCGGACAGGGATCTCACATCTCCCACTGTTTAGGTAGCCCTCACAGAATAGCAAGGGCAGTCAGCTTGCCCTGCGCCACAACTCTCCTATGTTTTTTCTTTGCCACATGGCTGGGATACAAAACCCGAAGCCTAAAGGATGTGGCACCGGGCAGATCTGCTCCCTTCCTCTGGAGTAGAGCCTCTCCACACAGTGTTTGATGTCCTTGTCCCAGGAAAACAGTCCCATACCTGAACAGTGCAAAGAATCTATAATATAGCACCGCTAAAAGCAGGATAAAGAGTATATGCCCTCTGAGTATGCTTCTGTCCCCTGCCAATGAGAGGTCTTGGTGCTTGCGCCTACAGGGTCTTTTGTCTTTGGAGAGGCAACATACCGTCTTCCAAAAGTACTCCAGGAAGGGGAATGTTGTCTCCCAGGGTGTCCATAGATCCCTACACCACATTAAGCACTCTAGGACCAGCTGCCTTCTCCTCAGGAGCATGCCCCACAGCTCTGCTCCAGAGGAAGTCGTGTACTTCCAAAGTCTCTGAGTTTGCACTCCAGATGCTGTTTGCAAATAAACCTGCAACAGTCAGTACTTCTTACTCCCCAATCTGTGATCCAGAGAGATTTTCCTCTTGTGCGAACCCAACACCACACTCTGTCAACTCTCTCATTTTCTTTTCCTTTGGTCTCTCCAGGGAAAGGGTTTCTTCCCCCTCTGTAGCAACACCGTTTTCTCTCCCCCAATTCACTTCCACATACCTCTCACCTGCCACACTGCCTCCCTCAACCGTGGAGATCCTTCTTCCGGTCTGCAGATCCTTTTCCTGGGTGTTCCAAGTTACCTGACCTCAATACAACTGTGTTTGAAGAACAAGGAATGCCCAGCATCCCCCTACTTCCCTGCTATCTTAACTCCTCCCTGAGACTGTTAAAGTTACATTCATTCCCATTGCTCTTTAGGGCTTCATATAGAGCTGTGTTTCTTTACTCAAAGACAATCTTTTTTCTTAGCTCCAAGCCTCTATCTAGATAGAGATTTACATATTTGAATGAATCTGTAATCTCAGAAGAATATGGGTGAAACCAGTACCGATGAATAGTTCTAAGATGAAAGGTGTTTTCTAAAATATTTTGAAGACAATTTGGTTTGGTGTTAAAAAGCAAAGCGGCATCACTGGGTTTAGTAGCTTCTGTTTTTGTAAATCCATTTAACCCGAAACCAAGCACAGCCATTTGGAAGTTTATAAATACATACCAGTTTTCTTTTCCCTATTTCTCTTAGCAACAACTGAACACTTATTTTCTGATCCTCTTTGATCCTTAGCTTTTGCTTTGTCTTTGTTTTTCATCAGTGCTATCTCTTTTATTTGTTGACTCACACATTGATGTAATTTATTGGGACAATAGCTTTGCAGCTTGAGTGTTTGAAATGGTTTTTCATGCGTGTATTTTTCAGGTGAATTTTCCCAGTAGTATCATTTCCTTCAAAGGCTAGTAGAAAATTGGTCTTGTCACCTTCTCTCCTTTTGTTCTCTTTCAAGTCATCTCAAAACTTTGTCTCTCATACCCCTTTTAGTGTATAAATGCCCAGGTTCATGAAATTGGGGACATCTGGGTGGCTCAGTCAGTTAAGCATCCAACTTTGGCTCAGGTCATGGTCTCACAATCCATGGGTTCAAGCCCTGTATCAGGCCCTGTGCTGACAGCTCAGAGTCTGGAGCTTGCTTTGGATTCTGTGCCCCGCCCCCTGCCCCTCCCCTGTTCATGCTCTGTTTCACTCTGTCTCTCAAAAATAAATGTTAAAAAAAAATTTTAAGTAAATGCCCCAGCTTTATGAAATAATATGCCTTCTACTGGTTTTCTAAATCTATTTTTAAACTGCCTTTAAATAATTTTACCAAAGGTTGTTCATACTGGGAATACTTTCCTGTACTTTAACCTTGCCACCAAGCAGTTTAGAGAAAGATTAAAATAATAAATTTTTAGAATGAATAGAATGTTAGAACTAGTATGCCCTTTAGATATTGTCTGGTTCAATCCCCTGATTTCACTGATGCACAGACTGATGTGTAATACTGATGACATTTTTATTAGCAAATGCCCTTCATAAGCCTTTTGTACCTTTCTGAGATAAGCTTAGTATTTTATTCTTTCACCGTGTTGCTTTATTAAGATTAGTATGTGTATCAGTAATGCTTTTAGCTGCATTTGACAATGCCTTAGTGGCTTAAACCTTAAGGATATTTATTATTCATACTTAACAAGAAATTCAGAGGTGGTAGGGAATCTTGGAGTTGGATCCAGCTCATTGTATCTTCAAGAACCAAGGCTCTTTCTTTCCATTTTCCCTCAAGCTAGCATGTGGTCCTTTTGTCTTCATGCCTGCTGCCCCAGTTCACAGGGTACAGTTATAAGAATCCCACACATATCAAGGAAGAGATAGAAAAGGGGGCTTGCACCAGCAGCTTTTCCTTTAAAGCCTGGCCCGTTTATGAGAAAGCCAAATCACTTTCCCAGAAGCTCCCCAGTAGACTTCTCATTGCATCTCATTGGCAAGACTAGCACATGACTCATCTTAGCTGCACGAGGGGCTACAAAAGCATTCATGTTTTATAGTGGGAATAACCTTTGTAATGAGAGGAACATAGGAGTTGAGGAGGTTGAAAATGCCTTTAGATTGATTAAACCAACAGTATCTGTCAGAGTAGTCATCCTAGATAGATAGATAGATAGATAGATAGATAGATAGATAGATATTCATTCATTCATATCCAGAGAGGAAATATATGATTATTGTATTATTGGCCTGAAATTAGCACGTGAGCATTCCGTATAAACGTCGTTATCACCATCAAGCAAAGCTTGACATCCCCACATAGATACTAACCAAACCCAGAGCAAGCTTAATTACTAGCAGCTCTTTCCCACTTTTGAACAACACACCTTAAAAGAGTGACCTCAATAGCTTCAACTTCATAATTATTAACTTAAAACTAAGATATACAAAATCACAGTCTGATCAGGAAAACCCTTAAGAGACTTACAATCACAACAGAATTTGCCTGCATTTGTTGGGACAATCTATAACTGACATGTCATCTTGTTTAGAAATAGAACACTTTAGGGGCGACTGGGTGGCTCAGTCCATTAAGCATCTGACGTCGGCTCAGGTCATGATCTGACAGCTTATGAGTTCAAGCCCTACATCGCCCTGTGTGCTGACAGGTGGGAGCCTGGAGCCTGCTTCGGATTCTGTGTCTTCCTCTCTCTCTGCCCCTCCTCCACACATGCTCTGTCTCTCTCTCAAAAATAAGTAAACATTTAAAAAAATTTGGAACTAGAATACTTTAGATTTTCTTATAAATCCTTCATGTGTCAAAGCAGTGTGGTGAAAGGCTTATTTTGACTAGAATCCATCAAATCAAGAATCTGAGAACTGTCTGTAATTTGCTTATATACATATATATAGTACATAGTATACTATATAGTTCTATAGTTTATAGACCCAGATGAAAACAAACCCAAAAAAAGCACCAATAAAGGTTAGAGAAAAAGATCTCTGCAGTGTTCTTTTCAGTTATTTTTAGACAAAGATCCACAGAGTTAGGAGAATCAAGGAGCTGTTTAAATCATAATAGATACCCAAGAAGTACTTGATGATGAAAAAAATTTTGTACAATTGAGAAAAGCGTCAGAAAGTAATTTGAAGTTTGTGAGAAATCATAGTGCTTTGAGAAATTGGTGATCCTAACATAAAAGCAATGGCAGGAAACCCAGAGGAGCTTCTACAAAGTGTTGTCCTCATGCAGGAAACCAGAGACCAGATTCACCATTGATAGATTCCTCAAGTGGAGTCTTTGTAGAATTACAGGGAGTAGGAATGAGAGTAAACAACCATATCCAAGCTAGGTTGAAGTGAAGGCCCAGGTCATGTGAGGGAAGCTCAAGTGACTATACCACTGAGCCATAGGAGCCAACCACTTTCCCAAAACCAGAAGTTATAGCTCCGCCAGCTTATACCATTCTTCTGCCTGAGTGTTCAGGAAGCATGATTTCTCCATCCATTTATGAATAGAGTACTGACTACTATTCTTTGACTTTCCCTCCAGAAAACCCGTTATGAAATTTATGTCAGCATTCTAAAAGAAGGAGGCAAGGAGCTCCTGAGTAACAATGAAATTGAGGCTGCAGGACTAAAGAAGTCACATTCAAGTCCTTCACTGAACCCGGATTCATCTCCAGTCACAGCCAAGGTCAAGCGTAACGTGTCAGAGAGGAAAGATCACCGACCTGAAACACCAAGCATTAAGCAAAAAGTTACTTAGAATCCATCTGTGACCAGGAGGTACTGGTCATGGAGCAAAATAGAGTTTTTCAAGATCTTTCTGGTAAACCCGTGAATATATTTTTAAAAAGTCTGTGACTAAGTGGTGCATTAGTAACCTTTTCTATTGTATAGTTTTGTTAGTTTCTGTACTGTGTCTCTTTGCTCTTGATTACTTTGCTTTGATGATTTTTGCTACTTGATGACTAATGCACCTTTTTTGTGTGAGGGGAAAGGGATCGTGATTTCAGAATGAATTATGTGTCACTTTCTTTTTTTCTTGTTTGCACTCTGCTCTGTTGTTTTATGTATTTTCAAATCAACTATTACACTTTTTTAAGGTTAAAAAATTTAAATCATTGTGAAACATTTAACTGGACAAACTTGGTAGTTGAGTAAATTCTAGCCAGAGTTAATATAAGCCTTTATATGTGAAATATTGCTTAGTCACAGAGGTGGAATTGAGCACTGGAAGAAATTCAATTAAGAATTACAGTTCTGGGAAGCAAAATGCTCCACTGTGATGCAGGTATGCATACATCTTTGCACTTACTGTTGAGTTCTGACCCTGCTGGAAGCAGGGAAAGGGAGTGTGAAGATGGGAGGCCTGGAGAACTAAAGAAGTGAATTAGCTTCCTTGAAGTGTTGATTTCATTTCAGCCAAAGAAGGAAAGAGGAAGTGGAATCTTTTTGCCATTGAATGTTGTGGAAAAATAACACCAAGTTCATTTTGTTTCTTAAAGGGTAGTGGCAGTTATTGACTCCTGGGGAGCTGCAGCAGTAGGCATGTGGATGGTGTGCATGCAATTGTTACCTCACTCCCTCAGGGTCTAGGCTAGGAATCCAGAATCATCTCTGTCCATCAGTACCCTGCCATTCAGGAATTAGGTTCTTATATATATAAGCATGGTATTATCTCCTGGTTGTAAAAATATTGGGATCTTCCTAACAAAATAATGTTGCAAATGGAACCCCTTTTGTTTTTTTTTAACCAAAGTAAGAGTAAACAGTAACTGCAGTCGTTCAGCAATGAGATGAATATTGATTCTTTCAAATAAATCTGAAAGTAATAATGTCTAAATGAATTGTGGCTGGAAAACTGAGGAATCTACTGGTTGTATATGCAGAGTTAGATTATTCTTATCTAGGTTTCTTTGATAGCCAGTTCACTCTGCTGCTACTGAACTTTCTCCTAAAAATAAGTACCTAATTTTAAATCAGTATTTTCTATCTACTCAGAATAGTTACAGTCAGGAATTTGTTCCAGTGCTGGTCCCTTTGAAATTTAGGGTGACAACACATTCTCTTGTACAGGAAGAAAAAGTGAAAACTGAACCCTCTCTGAGTTAGGACTTTCTGATTTTTAAACCTTGAAAGTTTGTGATCCTTAAAACTATAATCTCCACGACTTTAGAACTAATGGAATCATTCTGAATACTCTTTCACCTCCCACACATATTTGCTCTAGTTCTAATCAGTTTATTAGTTAAAGGTACTATGACCAAAGAATCAGGGACTCTGCAAGAATAGCATGGTTCCAGTGATTTAGAGAAAATCTGCTATTAAACCATGGTGGTTTCTAGTAGTATATTGTTCTGATGTACCAGCATTTAATTATAATATTATTTATTAACATTTACTTTACCTATATAAATGTCCATATTTGCTAGTGCCCAAAAAAGAGAAACCCTGCTTGAAGGTTGTAGTTGCTTGCTTTTGTGAGAAGTATTTTACCACACCTTTGAAAAACTCATTCTAACCCACTGTCTTGTTTATGTAAAGGCAGTGATTAAATTTTTGTGTCAAAACTGAAAAACAAGGTAATTACCAATACGGCCCTGTTGCACCTGATTCATTTTTGCAGCTTCTGACCAAATCCAAGATTTGCACAAAGGAATCTTCTTTTATCCTTGAATCCAAATAATTAGCTTTGTTTGTTTTCTACATAATATATTTATACCAAGCAAGAGAAAAATACCTAGCCATGTCATCTCTGAACTTCAGTAACTAAAGAAAAATAAACATCCCTGACTGGCTTGAATGTGTTTGTCAACAGTGTGACTGTGTCTGTGTATATAGAATGTCTCTATGTATTTTACTTACAGTATGTAATAGACATGAAATGGTACCATGCTATAGTATTTCTGACATTTAGAGTAGTTGTAAAATGCTCAGTTAGAATCAGCAGCATTATAGCATTATTCCTATTATACAACTCACTAATGTTAGCTACAGGAATTTCTGGATATGCTAATAGATAAATGGATGATAAGGACACTTTGAAGCTGCAGTATATTGTGTTTGCACAGTTTCTTTTTTAAAAACATCTGCAAAAGATTTTTCTGTGAGCCAGGATCCCAGATTGCCCTGGCATGAAGTTGCCCATCTGCCTGGGATAGGTTGAGAATACCTCTGTTCTTTCTGTTATCAGTGCACCTCGCAGGCCAAGAGTTTGCCCAGTAATAGGAGGAAATGGCCCCTGACTCAACTAGATTCTAAGAGTCTTGCCCATAGCCAACCACATTTTTCTTTGTGATCATTTCTTTCCTGTAGTATCAAGTCAGAAGAAATTGAAGACATTTCTTTTCACAGCTATTCCAAGCTTGCTTCCTAGTTCACAGTACAGGGGACCTCTCCTCCTCCTTACCATCTAAAGGTACTCCCCCTCCTCCCATCCCCATTCATCACCCATACCTTAGCACCAGGAGCCTTGGGATTTCTCTCCATGTGATAAATGATTACTCTCCTTCACATAAACATACTTAATATTATTTTTTATATAGAAAAGTCTTGATAGTCATCAAAACACCTTGGTGATAGTCTTTTTTTTTTTTTTTTTTTTTAACTTTCACAGGAGGTCTCAGAAATCCCTTGTTAGCAATCAAAACTTAATTACTAGCATGCAGAGTCCTCATTTTATTGCCAGGCCATACCCATTGTTTGAAGTGTGCTTTTTAGAAACATTTTGGTAACTCTTAGCAATGCCTAGTTAAACCAAGCAATACTTCCATGTATTTTAATTAATCTCAAGTAAAACCAACATGTTAGAGAGTCCTCTGGTAGAACTGTAGTTCCTATTGCTCTTTGGTAAGGAAGGTAGAAAGCAACTGTGCAAGACCCTCTATACTTCTCTGTTATCCTAATTCAGAAGATGAGGACTTCTGTCCTCAGTCAGAAGTGATATGAGAGAATTCATTCTGGAAAAGGAAAATTGGCTGGCTTTCCAAGGCCAAGCTAGAGGTGGTCTCTTGAGTTTGTATTTCACCCTGTGGCCAAACCACAGAACATCTGAGGCTGGAGAAGAATTTATATAACCAGCAGTGAAGGAGGCCCTTTGCTGCCTAAGCACAAAGTTATGGAGTTTTTTGCTGGCCCTTGCCTCTTACTCCCTCTGATATAAAGAGCTTGAGAAGCTTTTCTTAGGTAAGGCAGGGACTGATTTCTCTATGAATTGTACTTCTTCTCTGCCTTTACCCCTAATCATAGATCATGGAAAGAAAATTGACCTTTAAGAAGCTTCTCTATATTCTTACTAGCAAGACTTTCTTGGATATAGTTAATTTTCATTGCAATTTTAATTCCTTTGGCATTTTTTCTTGTAGTCATCAGTAAAGCCTTTTTTTCTTTTTTAGATTTTATTTCTAAGTAATCTCTACAACCAACATGGGGCTCAAACTTAACGATCCAGAGATCAAGAGTTGCATGCTCCACCAACTAAACCAGCCAGTTGCCTCCAAGTTAAGGTTTTTTAAAGCCAGATATCACAGGGAGTTTCTTATTCTTGTAGGTCCAAATTTCTTTACTTTAGCTCCTAGGGACTTAATTAAGTTTACAGAACGTTGGTAGCCACCTTCCTTAATTTCAGCAGTGAATAATCTCTTTACTTTTCAAATGACAATTTTTTCCAGTTGTAAAATTAACGCTATTAAACAAAGAACCAAAGTGGTATCCTAAGACTTGTTAAAAGTACAGTTTAGTTAGTGAATAATAGTGTGACTTTGGGTTAAAATAGCATCTGCTTTTCTCAGCATCTAAGTTACTATGACAAGAAAAAAAGATCAGTCGCTTTGTAGGCAGATGAGCTTCTGGGTATACCTTGCTCCAAAGCTTTCTGGCTGTCTCTTCTCCCAGGCCAGGTCAGGCCACTAGTCTGCCTCAGGTCAAGGCATATCTCCATCAGCCTTTGGACATTTAATACTATCAAGTGACTTAGAGGACGTTAAACACCAATAGTTCACCACAAAATAATCCCGGCAATTGATAGGGAGGTGCTTTGTCATTGCTTTTCCTTTCAGATTCCTTTTCAATGTCTCACTTTTAAAAGGGGAACTAAAGTCCAAAGTCATTGCCATTCTCCTTTTGTATCTATAGTATTCAAAACCCAACAGGGTAGCATTCTGCTTAGAACTTAATGCCCATTGCATGCAAAGAGAATATCTTCATAGAGAGGATGTCAGTAAATACTTGAATCTGCATGACAGTTTGTTGACTTGAATGCAACAGCAAGAAAATATTGCAAGTTAGGTAATTGTATATACAGTTTCCTTAAATGTCCTTGGCTCATTCTTTGTAATTTATGTGTGTATCTGTAGTATTGCAGGCTTTTGGAGAATATTCATATAGATAGTTTGTCAGACATCAAAAAAATGCTTTCTGTCATTTGCCAATGTTGTATTGTGGGTATTTATAGTTGTATGTATGTATATGTATATGTATCAATGTGTAGACTGTATATCAGTGTATGGTGTATGTATATCAAATTTATTTTTAATATCCAGTGTGATACTAAAAGCAAGTAAAAACCTCATAGGATTGATTATATAATGCAGTTATTGAAAGTATATATAGTGGTACTGTTTTATTAAACTTAAAATGATATTTTGATTAGATTTTTAATAAGATTTTATGTTAGAAAACTCCATCTTTGATCTTTGAACCACCAGGGCGAAAATGACCCTGAACTAACTTTGTGAAACTATTTCAGTGTACTGTGTACAATACTAAGGAAGTAGCTCATGATAACTTGAGATCTACAGAAAGAAAAAAAATAGGCATCCTATGCAGTCTTAACAACTTCGGTATTCTGAGCACTTAACTGTAAAATCAAACTGACAATTTTGGGCTTATTACAAAATGTGATGCTTTAAAGCACACCTTCTTTATTGTTGTAATTAGTCCAGAGAAATAGAGCTTTCAGAAGAATTAAATAAGTGCCCACAGTATCATTTTTGTGCCTGTGTCTATTTTACAGTAGATGGAACGACCCTTCTAGCACCACCTCCTTACCTTCTTTACTTTAAAGAATATTACATTGCTAAAGTATATCAGGGCTTCCCAAGATCAGGTACTATATTCTAGGTTTGCAGTTGTACAAATTAGCATCTAGTGTCACAAGTGAAAGAATTTTAGGGCAGGTGATAGACTAGGTTAAATCTTTACTTAATATTTTTATACTTAGGTCTCTTCCTGCCTCTCCCCAAAGAGCCACTGGCCTTAGTTGTTTGAGCTTACTGCTTATCTCACAATGTGTAAATAGATAATAAGGGATTAAATATGTATTATCCAGCATGTTTGTTATATTTAAAGCAGCAACTGAGTGTTTTTGAGTGAGTGGTTGAGTGCAGTATATTTTTAAACATACGGTCTCCTATTCTTCATATCTGATTCAGAGAATTGGAGTTGTGGAATGAAAGACTAATCTTCAGCTCTAGGCTGCAAGTAGTGTGTTGGTAATTACATTGGAATTTTTTTACTAACTCTACAGTCTCAAACTTTTTGCAAATATATCATATTTCCTAATTTGTTCTTGACGTGCAGTGAATTGACTCTGTGACTGATCAGCAGGGTCTTTGTTCTGCAAGAGTGTATTTCTTTCTAAAAATTATAGTGATTTGCAAAAACATTCATTTGATTCAGAAAGCATATACAAAAGGAGTAGCAAAAATAAAGTTTCATTTTGGGCCTTAATCATTTAAAATGTTTGAACTTTTAATCTAAAGCCATGTAGGTTATAAAGCCAAGTAACCATTTGGCATGGACAGTAATATACACTGTATCAGAGTATATATGCACATTGATTTTTAATGCCATTAGGATACTTTTTTAAGCTATAGGAACAAGACTAATTAGACCAAATTGAAGTCAGAGGGTTTTGGAGAGGAGTGTGTAAGCTGGTTGCCTTCCATTTAGGGTAGACGTATATGTGGTCAGTCGTCCGCTCCTGAGAGATTCAGAACCAGTTTATTACTGTCCCCTTAGGTGTGTAAGGGGAAAGTTTCACATATCTGGGCCTCTCACATGTGTACATATGCTTGCACACATGTACACATAGTGAATGTTTTAAGTTATACAAACTTAAGACACAAAGGGCCAGAATGTAAAAGAGGTGATGAATGAAAGGAGTGGAAACTGCATCACAGGAATGTTTTCTAAGGGCTAGGGAGGAGTTTGAGTTCTAGTGTCTGACTTTGAGAAGTATTGCATTTTCAACAAATATATGAGGGGATTCACATCACATCCACCAAATTGAAGGCTGTCTTATAATTCACAAATAGCAATTCTCCACGATCCTGTAGTAGCATAAGGACATTCAGAAGGCTGTTGTTCACTATTTTCCAGGGTGGCATTGCTGCTTGCTCTGGAGATTATTACTTTGAGAAAGGAGCACAAATGGAGAAGGAACAAAACATTCTAGGAGTATTGGTATGAATTGTCCACACTCCCCTTCGAGCTGTACTGGTAAGAAAGTTCAGATTAAAGTATGCTGAACAGTTAAGCACTTTTCCATTAGCAGTGACAGTGAAGATGGAGATGAGAAGGAACCCAGCTAAAATATATTTCGCAATGCAGGGTAAAGAGCTAAATTCTCACTAATAGTGTTACTACATGCACCTTAACTTCAATTCCTGAAAATGGTGGTTAATGGAGAGAAATTTAGGGTTTCACTGACCGTTTCCGTGTGAGCTTGCATAGATAAGTCTTTAAACACTCCCAGGAGGGTCCTAGCCAGAAAGCTCAGTTCAGGACAGTACTGTAGGTCTGAGGCTCCTTGCTCTGACCCCTGAATACCGGGGCACTGCAGAGGGTGATAATGTATTCTCTTTGCAAAGAGGAGCTTCTCTTCTGGCCTTCTACTCCACTTGGGCTTCTACTGAGCAGTAAACACATCCTGGGTTTCAACGCTGTTTCCCAGCTTTAGGAATCCAGCAGTTCTAATGGGTTGACCCTGCTGAGGAAAGATATCAGCTCTGAGAGTGACTGGGTCACTGAGGGTGACACATGACAGAGGTATTTCAAAAGCTCTCTGACTGAAGCCAAGACCATATATTTTGCCTTTGCAAGAAACAGGTTGGCACATTGAGTTAGTCTAACCAAGGGATGGATGATATCTTTGCCTCTGCACCCAGATTTCTGGAAATGGATAATGTTTCAGTTCTGTGGGAAGGGTCAAAAAACACTAAGCTTATTGCTTAGCATTTCTGCTCAGTTCAGATGAGAGCTGTTGGGTAAAGGCCTAAAGGCCTCCCTGCATTCTCTTCTACCTCAAGTTTTAGAAGCCCATTTCCAGAACAAAAATTTACACACGTGGAGAAGCAATACTGTCAACCTTGATTACTGTAGACAGGCAGAAGGGTGGTAGTTTGTATCCTTTAGTATAAACAAGCTTTTAACTTTTCCAGCCTAGTAACTGGGTTATATTTACTGTGACTCAAACTATTTAGCAGTGTGGAACATTCCTTTACCTTCAAAGTTCTCTCCACCAATCATTGCAGTTTCGTTGCAATCCAGGTGCCATATCTCCCTGCAAATTGTGAAAGTAATTAGTAACAAAATAGCAGCCTACTCCTTTTCAGTAGCCAAACTGTCAGCATTAGCAGACTTAGGTAAGCTAGTGGGACTGAATTGTGTACTGGGAACCTGTTCCTCCTTATCACCCACCAGACTGAAGAAATGCCATCTCCTATAAAATTACGGCATTTATGGTGGTCATCTTTGTTTTGGAACAGTAATTTATGTGGGTATCGCTAAGGTGTTTAGAGAATATTTTGAAAATTAAGTTTACACTTTACAATTGCTTTATTTTTTATTAAAATAGTTGTATATAAATATTACCCTGTTTGTTGTTGAAGTAACCTAAAAACCGTGTAGACAGACAAGCGAGTCACCTGATATGTATAGACGCTGTGATATATAGAGAGTACTCTTCCCTATTGTGTAAATGTTCATGAATATAACTGTTCCTGTGTTTTTATAAGCTGGGGATAATTTGTTGTTTTATAACAACAAAACCTGTTGGATTTAAAGTGGATTTTATGTAATAGAAATCATGTGAAATAGTGAAGGACTTAAAATATGTATATGATATATGTAAATGTATAAACTTTAGAAAGAAATAAATCTAACAAGTTTCAATCATTTAGAAGGATATTTTTATTTGCTTATTTAAGCAACTGTATATAATGCCTTTAAAAAAACAACACACCAAACCTCCTCTTGCATTAAAAAGACAACCACAAGCCCCCAGTGAGAGATTTCACCAAGGTACTTGATTAAGGTGGTAAGAAAGTAAAAATTGTTAACTCTGACTCACCTCCACTGACTTCTGGGAAAACGTGTTTACACAAAGCTGTTGATGAGACTTAGGAGGCCTACTGTCTTCATCAGGGGGATTTAAGCAGGGAAAGAACAAAACTTTTTGTAGTAATTTCAAGAATTTATTTGCATTCCCATATTCTAACACTTTTTATCAAGATAAAGGGACTGAAGATAATTATTGCTCTAAAATGCAAATGCTGTTCATGCTTTATGGTGCCTAGTGTATATATCTGTGTTCTCATAACCCAACTTAATGTTAAAAATAACAATCTGTTGACTTGGAAAATGAAAAAATAAAATTCCACCCTAATCACCTAACTTGTGAATATTTGAGAGGATGTTTTATGTTTGGGGATTTGGGCTTTTTGAAGCAAGATAGCTGATAACAAATGAAACTGCTGCCTGGCAGAGATGAAAACTGCTATTATGTGTAAATCTCAAAGAAATAAATATCTTGGAGTGGAGAGGAAGGGGGAGATCAGTCCTTCAGCACCCTGTGGCTTCCACTAAAATCCCCCTCCATGACTCTCAAACGTGAATCCTCTTACATAAATATTGAATCATATTGTACATCTGAAACTAATATAATGTTATGTCAGTTATGTCACAATTTGGACAAATATGAATCCTCATTGCCCAGTTTTCTGTCCTCTGGAGCTAGGAGTTTTGTCTATCTTGTCATATTCTGTTGCACAAATTAATATTAAAAGATGAAACCTCAGAGAAGAAACTAAAATCCAGGAGAAATAAAGATAATAATGAAAATACTATCATCCCTAAATAATGTCTCACCTCTACATTAACTCTATTCCACTGATATTGTGAGATTTACCAATGAGACTGCCGAATCACCCAATTTTTATTGAGAAATTGTAAGCCACAGAAAACCCTGAAGACTGGCATATATCTTTCTAATATTAGAGAAGAGTGTAAGTGCTGGATGCTGTAGACTAGTGAGCTTGATATTAATTCTGGACATAATTACAGAGTGAATGATAAGGATGCAACATTACTGGAAGTCAGCATGGCTTCTCAAGAACAAACCATTTCAGACTATGTGTACTTCCTATTTTGTAAGATTAAGTAGATCAGAAAATAGTAGACAAAATATATGAGCCATAACAAAGAATTAAATGTGGTCTTTAATATGTCTGGGCTAAGTGGTGAAATATCAATGTCGGTGGGTGTGTCACCACTTGAGTGGTGCTAATTAAAGAATATTCATCACCCTGGAAGAGCATGTCTAGTGTTCTGCTGCAAAGCTCACCTTTTGGCTCCATCTGACCAACATTTCAATTAATAACTTGACTAAAACTATAAAAAAAAAATGTGTTTATTAAAAATGTGTATGTCATAAGCCGGGAGAGAATGATTTTACTAAAGACAGAATCAGGATTAAAAAAAAAAAAATCTCGCCAGGCCGAGAAAGGGACAAATTAACAATGTGAAATGTTAAAATGTAAGAGCATAAGATTTTATACTTTGGTTATTAAAAAAAAAAAAAACTTTACAAGGTCAAGCTGGGATCTGGTGTTGCATAGCATCACAAGCAAATAGGAAAGAAAGCCTCCAGCTTTAACCCAATTATGTGAACAGAGTGATGTAGCTACCAAAAACACTGGTGTCA